TCTCTCTCTCTCTCTCTCTCTCTCCCTCCCTCCACTTTTCCTGAAACCCTTCCCCAAATTCTCCACAAGAAGCTATCCACACAACTTCTGCAGCAAACGTCAAAAGATGCTCAGCATCATGGATCACTGATAGACAGGAGGAAGATTTCATTTCAAGTAGAAAAACCGGCTGCTCCCTGCCCCGCTGGTGGAAAAATATCGGCATCAAAAATCCGAAGCAGAATAAAACAGGATTAATCAATCGAGCAGGAATTCCTTCAACTCACCATCTCTGCTTTTGCAGATGGCATCAAACTTCTGATTTCAATGTGGAGAATCTGAATCCATAGCTTCAATGACTACACCCCTGAGTAAAACACAGCTAGGAAAGTGTAGGCCAGAGGTAGGCAACCTTGGCTCTTTGATGTCTGGTGGACTTCAACTCCCAGAATTCCTGAGCCAGCCATGCTGAGGAGAAAAGGGAGAGGTTTCCAAGCTGAGCCATGCTGGCTCAGGGATTCTGGGAGTTGAAGTCCACGAGTCATAAAAGAGCCAAGGTGGCCTACCCCTGGTGTAGGGGAAGGAGTGGTAGAACCTGAGGGCGGAGTCAAAAGAGGAATCAGCCTAGAATCGCTACATAGCCACAAATGGACAAAGTCCAATCCCTCTTGTATTCCGTTGACCCATACCTAGTGCCAAAATAGTGCTAACCGTCAGTTGAGCAGATTTCTGTCCATAGGCGTGAGTAGTAATAAATCAGTTTAATTGGAACTTCACATGTGGACCTGATCTTCCGCGTCCAAGACTATTTTGAGTCTTGGAGTTAGGTCCTGTCCCCACGGTGGCATCTTTAGGGCAACCTGGAGGAGGGTTTACCTTCGTCCATATTGGCCTTCCTTTGATTTCAGTTCACTGGAATCACGTTTCTTTATGGTTTTGGTTTTTTTATTGAAAAGTTTTATAAAAGTTACAATATAAACCCCAAAACCCACCCCCCCCTAACCCCCCCCTCTCCCTCCCCCACTTCCCAGAGCTGAATACAGGGTTACAAATATAATAATTATAATCTAACTAACATTAACCACTATATAAATAACCAAGTCCATAATGCGCTTTAACTCCTCTTTAACATAAATATAATAATAATAATTAAAACATAAACAAATTAGTATCCTAATTATGAAACAATAGAATATTGTTAAACAATACTAATACTAATAATAATAATAATATCATATAATTAAAACTCATAAAAATTTCACTATGATAAACTATTAATACTAATAATACTCTAAAATTTACTCATAGGCTAAATGGAACTTTTTAGTCCCATATTTATTCTGAATATAATCAATCCATCTTCTCCAAACCGAAATGTATCTTTCTTGTGAATAATCCTTCAAATAGGCAGAAATCTTAGCCATTTCTGCTAAATTCGACACTTTAAGCGTCCATTCTTCTGTAGTAGGCAAGCAATCCTTCTTCCAATATTGCCCTACTAATAACCTTGCACGGTGATGTTTCTTTATGGTTAACTTGTCTCCCTTAACCACAGCTGAGAGACGTAGGTTTTCTATTTTTTTAAATTCCAGCAGAAAAGAAGGGATTTTTCGCAGGTAGAACTTTAGTTTCTAGCCAATTTTGGCTGATCTCCAAAAAAATAAAAAAAAAATCTAAGCAGGGCCCTACCAGTTAATATTTGAAAGGGAGAAGAACTGGACACCCCAGGGCTGGAGTGTGCTGGAGATGGGGAAAGTTTTAAAACAAAATTGGTTTTAAACTGTCCTTGGATGTTAAACTGCTTTGGCCATTCCAAAGGGCTCTTGTGATACAGCAGCTTGATATTTTGCTGTCAGCCATACTGGAGGCAGAAAATTCTTTAGGCAAACAAAGGCAGTCTGGGAATGTTGAATGATTGGGCCACATCTGTGTATATTGTACACCGTGGTGGTGCAGTGATTAGAATACAGTACTTCAGGCTAACTCCCTGTTGACTCCAGGAGTTTGATTCTGAATGGCTCAAGATTGACTCAGCCTTTCATCCTTCGGAGGTCATGAGGACCCAGATTGTTGGGGGCAAAATGCTGACTCTGTAAGCCACTGTAAAGCACGGTGAAGCGGTTTATAAGTCTAAGTGCTATTGTTACTGTGTGTGCTATTGTATGCATAGATATATTTGTTGTTAGTTGCAAAGTCGTGTCCGACCCATCGCGGCCCCATGGACAACCTTCCTCCAGGTCTTCCTGTCCTCTAGATATATAGATATATAGGTATCTACTTATAGTAAATTCCTATTCACCTATAGTAAATTCCTATTCTTTATATAACCAGATTAAATTTACATGAAGTCCCTCTTGGCATTCCAATCCCAAAACAACACAAAGTGTTGCTGAAGTTTGCAGATGGAGCTTTTGCACGGAGTTGGCCCTATTAGGATGTCGTGATGTTCTTATATCTTTTTTCTTGAAATTTATTTTGATATTTTTAAGGGACCAGTCCCATCGTAAAGGATAAAGGCAACTGCTTCCATACTGTTGGACAGGACCTGAGCCAACCCCAAGAGACTTTGGTGTTATTTTACAGCCCATCTCAGTCCTATATAACAAGTGTCTTCCCTCACGTAGTTACGTGATTCAGGAGGGGCCAAGGCATTGTGGGTGCTTGTGCATTCAGCCATCCTAACCCACGGGACAAGCATTCTTCGTCCCAGTTTCACTGCTTGTTTTGAAACCACACCCGACTCCTGCATTAAGCTGGTGCATTTTCTTGGAACATCAGTCAACCTTTCAACAGTTGGTGTGCTAGGCCTAGTTGTGTTTAATCCTGGTGGGTTGAATAAACCACTGTGTCTGCATATGGTACTAAGCCTGGCCAAAGAAACTGCATTTGGCTTAGTGTAAGTGGCTGGATCCAGAAACTGTGCACCATAGGCTTAAGATACAGGAGGATCTTAACAGACTTGAACATTGGGCACTATCTAAAAAAATGATATTCAGTGGTGAAAAAAGTAAAGTTCTACATTTAGGCAAGAAAAAACAAATGTACAGGTATATAGGTGGTACCTTGCTCAATAGTAGTAACTGTGAGAGGGATCCCGGAGTCCTAGTGGACAATCACTTAAATATGAGCCAGCCATGTGCTGCAGCTGCCAAAAAAGCCAACACAGTGTTAGGCTGCATTAACAGAGGGATAGAATCAAGATCACGTGAAGTCTTAATACCACTTTACAATGCCTTAGTAAGGCCACACGTGGAATCCTGCATCCAGTGTTGGTCACCACGATGTAAAAAAGATGTTGAGACTCTAGAAAGAGTGCAGAGAAGAGCAACAAAGATAATTAGAGGTCTGGAGGCTAAAACATACAAGGAACGGTTGCTGGAATTGGGTATGTCTAGTTTAATGAAGAGAAGGACGAGGGGGGACATGATAGGAGTGTTCCAATATCTCAGGGGCTGCCCCAAAGAAGAGGGAGTCAAGCTATTCTCCAAAGCGCTTGAAGGCAGGACAAGAAGCAACAGATGAAAACTAGTCAAGGAGAGAAGCAACCTAGAACTAAGGAGAAACTTCCTGACAGTGAGAACAATTAACCAGTGGAACAACCTGCCTCCAGAAGCGGTGAATGCTCCAACACTGGAAGTTTTAAAGAAGAGACTGGACAGCCTCTGGGTTGAAGTTGGTTATTTCTAGCTGGCATATTTAAACTTTTCTAATTTTTACATGCATGTTTTTTTTGTGCTTTTGTTGTGCTACTTACCCAGAATTGTTTGAGTAGGAGGGGCAGATATATAGATATATTTGCATAATGAATACAGGAGTCAATGCTTAAATGTAATTAGACGGTTCTATCTAGCCATATTTACAGCGCTTGCTGACAACACAAATCCATTCTGGTTAATTCAAAAAAACCCATCTTTATCTGGTTTGAAATCAGGACTATAGTTTTTTTTAAAAATTAAATAAATGTTCCTTTGTTATTACTATGGAACAATGTTTCAGAAGCCCAATAAATTTGCACAGAAACTGCTATCAAAGGATAAATAAAGGCGGAGGGATTGCAGCCTGATTAACATTAGTTGTGAGTGTCTTTTTCCAGAGCGAGAAT